ATTTAATCATATCGAAATGCTCCATTTACACAGCTCCCCTAATCGGACGCAGTGGCAGTCGTGTCTGTGGGTTTTCCCCTCCGTGAAGATGACTCACTCTGCCAAGGGGCATGTCCGTGGCGGGGGCACGTCCATGGCGGGGTCCCCGAAGACTCTGCCTGCTGCACACGGGCTGGAGCGTAAATGTTTTTGAAAGGAAAGAAGAAACTGAGGAACGGTGGCCTTTCTCAGTGGGCTGCTCGTGTGCAGCCGAAGCGGGGCGGAGGGGTGGGCGGGGGCGGCCCCACCTTGAGCCCCTGCCTGGTAGGACAGCGCTCTGGCTGAGAACCAAAGCAGCTTCTTGGGTCCCCAGGGCCTGGCTGCTGTTGCTGACCTCCCCTGGGTCCCAGTGCCTGAAAAGGTTGCACCGTTTACCACGGAATCTCCACGCCCAGGGCCGTCTGTGCTGTGCCTCTGCTCCAGGGGTTAACCGTAAGCTGCTTTCAGCTCTTCCCTGGGAGGACCAAGGAGCTGGGAGTACCGAGCACGACCCAAGCTGGAGCTGCAGCATCTCACCTCAGCAAGCCCCAGGGCGGTGGCCCTTTCAGTGACCCCTCCTGCCGCCTCTACCCCTGTAGTAGCCCCGGCCTACATTCCCCGGGGCCAGGGCCGGTGTCTCCTCACAGAGCCCCCACCGCCCCCCTATGGTGGGAACTGCTGAAAAGTTCTCCAAGTGGAAACCACTCCTCTCACGGCTGGATGAGGACGCGGCCTGTGAGCACAGGGGCTTCTCCAGGGGAAGCCTCGAGCCTCGGCACCATCAGAAGGGGAGGATCACCTGGAAACGGCAGCAGAGTCTTGGGGTGGCTTGCGGGGGCTTTCGGAGTGCCCAAGCTGCCCCCCAGCCACGGCAGGGGAGGGCGTCCCACGGGTCGGCTGTGGGCACACTTGGCTCTCTCAGCCTCTTCTTGGGTGTCGGCTCCTGCTGCTCGTGGGGTCAGAGCCCCGGTCCTCTCGGGCACGGCCTCTCTGCGCGTCCACGTGCACCTCCCTCTTCAGCTCCCAAACTGCGATCCCCAAACCGTGAAGTGCCTGCAGCGCCCTGCTTGTTGGCTCACAACAGCCCCCGGGAGTCTGCGGAAGGCTGGCGGGGTCCTCCCGGCCCAAGACGCACTGTCTCACAGGGCACCCAGGGCTCAGTGGGGTCACGGCTCAAAGCCCAGCCCCAACCTTGAGCCGAATCACCCCACATAGTGATGGCCTTGGGGTCCTGGGCCTCACCTCCACCAGCCTCACTCTTTCTCACAGGCAGGGGACAGGAACTCTTCCCCGGATCGAACACCAGGAGCAGATGCCATCAGGACAACAGAAAGAAGCAACTCCTGAGCTTTGTCCCCAGGAGGCCCCGGGAGGAGGATGGTGGTGCGGCGCTGGCTCCTCAGATGCCCTGGCGGTGGGCCTGGTGTCCAGCTCCCACCAGGCTGCTTAGCCCGGGGGCAGAGCAGGCGAGGATGCCTCCTGGTGTCTCTCAACGGCCGTAAATCCTGTCAGTAACCACAGCTCTAACAGCTTCTCAGTGTACATTACTTGGGGGACGTTTGCCCCGCCGTGCACAAGCCCCGGGACAGACAGCAGGAGTGACTCAGAGGCAGGTGAGGTGGCCCAGCCTCTTCTCGGCGCTGGGCTGGCCCACCTCCTTGGGCCTAGTCAGTGCGTGGGGAGGTCACCGGGTGGCGACAGTGCCATGTGTGCAGGGCCCATGTCACAGGCCCTGACCTACCCACAGGGACACCTGCCAGTTGCGTGTGGGTGGGGCTGAGGGGTCTCCCTCAGGGGGCCCAGGGAAGAGAAGGCCTCCCAAGGGTCCTGTGGGCTCCGTGGACCTCTTATTCCCGGCTAGCATCTAATGCCAGACCCTGCACCCCCACTCCCTTTTCAGGGGGGCCTTTCAATAGTTGTAGCCCTGAAGGAGAGTCCACAGATACATCTTATGTATTTTTTTTGGCTGGGAAATATCTGATACTTGTCTGTGAAATATAAACTAGAAAATACCCAACCCTCACAGCAATCTACTTCCCCTTGGTGCTTGGACACAGGGTGCAGGGTTATTTCTGGCCTGCTCAGGCCCCCCTCAGCCCCACCCACACGCAACTGGCAGGTGTCCCTGTGGGTAGGTTAGGGCCTGCAGACGTGGCACTGTTGCCACCCAGTGACATCCCCACACACTGACCAGAGCAGCCGGCCTCAGGTCACTGGCACGGGTGACCTGACCTCTGGACCTCTGGACAGTCAACCTGGACCTTGGGCAGCCCTCTCCCAACGGGTCAGTCTGCTTGCCTGTTAAATGGGAAGGGGTCGGCTGAGGCCTCTGTGAGCCCCAAGAATGTGAGAGGTATCCTGTGCCCGAGGCGGGAGCCCCCAAAGCCTTCCTGAGAGCACATGTCTCACAGTCACCCTGGCGGGATCCCTGCTTTGGCTTTAGGCTCTGCTCTCGGATAAAGTGCAAACGTGCCTACGGCCCTGGGGACTCTGAGCACGCCTGTCACTCCTCAGCACAGGTGTCTGCTTCCTGCTCGCCGCCCTACACCCCAGCCCGGCCACAAAATGAGCAGCTGGGGGGCAGGTGCCCAACTGTCCAAGTTCACCTCTCCTATGCCAGGCCTGGTGCCTCTGAGCACACTGCTGCTGGACAAGGAAAGGAGTGGACGGGTCTTGGGGCTAGACTTCCGGCTGGACCCAGAGGTCAGGGAGGGCTTGCCCAGAGTGTGTTTCCCACGCTGCCTGCGGAGAAGACAGGGTTTCTATCCTCCCACTGTGGACGGGATGCAGGCCACCTGCCCACAAGCCACAGTGGTCACGAGCCTGGGGTGGTCTGGTCTCCCAGGCGTCCCTAATGCTCCTTCTCGGGGCTGGGGATTTAGCTCAGCGGCACAGCGCCTGCCTGGCAAGTGCAAGGTCGTGAGTTCAATTCCCGGTACCGAAAAAAAAAACAAACCAAAAGCAAAGAACCATTGTTGAACTCCTAATGCTCCTTCTCTACCTCTGCGTCTCTGAGAGCGGACAGCTCTCAGTCAGGCTTAGTCTGGGGACCCGTGTAGACTTCCTCCCCCAAGGGCCACCCCCGAGGGGCTGGTGTCCATGGCCTGATGCTTACTCTGTGCCTGGCCTGTCCTCCAAACACAGCAAGGGCTGCAGCTGCATCACCTGAAATTGCACGCTGTGTTCGTGTGTACATGTGTGCACACACCCTGGTCAGGCCAAGCCTGGGGAAATGCCTGTTGCTCATGGCTGCTTGGGTCGCCAAGGGGGGCAGGTGGAGACCCCAGGCTGGAGTGGGCAGGGGGGTGGTGTCTGGTTGCTGCCTAGCCGTGCAGATCTTGCTGACAACCCTGTTGGCACAGTATCACCATCACGGGTCTGTGGGCCCATGTCCCCGGCCACATGTGGGGCACTGGGCTACATGAACTGCAGTGCCTCTTCCAGGCCGGGCAGGTGCCTGTTTGTTTGTGGTCACTAGGGGAGGGTGACAGGCCCTCAGCAGACCCCCAGCCGTGAGACCAAGGGCTGGGGCTGGCCATGGTTCGCTGAACCTGGGCATTTTGCCCACCTCTGCTGTCTCAAGGCTCCACCCACACCACTCCAGGAAGCTGACCGGGCAGCAAAGGTCCCTGCATGCTGTGTCCCTGCTGGCCCTCGCACCTCCTGCCACATGGTGCAGGCCTCTGACCCCCGGGCCCCTGAGCCTGGAGTGTCGTCTCCACTTACGGGATGGAAAGCAGTGCAGCTGGGGCTCGAGGTGCCCCTGACCTGTGACCACTCAGCGGGAGGAGGACACAGCTCAGCTGTCCATCCTGAGCCCGCGCTGACCCTGGGGCCGCCCTGTCTTCCCACCAAGCCACTTCCATGCCTCCCCCTGGTGCACGGCCCTTTAGTCAAGATTTTCAGGTAAGCGCTCACGCCCTGTGCAGGGACATGGCTATGTGGCAGCTCGGCATTGGTTGGAACTGCAGAAGTGCCAGCAGTGTGATAGGGCACGTCCTGGGGCCACACAGCTCTCAAATCTGCCAGGACCCTGGCTGTGGGGTCCTCCTGGGGGGACCTCCGCCTCCTTGCAGGCTTAGTCCCCAAGATGACATCACAAACCGCCTGTTGCAGCTGGCGGCTCCAGCCCACGCTGGGGGGCACAGACCCAGAACTGGGCTGTGGTGCTTGCCAAAGCACAGAGGGGGCAGGTGAGAGCATCACGGCAGAGCCTGCGGCTGGCGCAGGAAGCCACAGCGTAGCTGCTGCAGATGAGTCCCCAGTGGGGAGCAGCAGCCTGTTTGCTCTGAGCTCAGCGAGGAGGCCCCTGGGTCCCAGGAGCCAGACAGGCCTGGGCCGGGAGCAGGCGGGTGACACTCGTTTCCCCTGCTGTCTGGGTGCTGTGAGCTGGGGTGGGCCCCAGTCCTCCCGGCCCTAAGGGTGTGTCCGGATGGGGACAGGGTGCCAGGCGCCTAGAGAGCCCTCTGTTCTTGCTGGGCTTCTCTCCCCTCCACTCCCCCAGGGCAGGCAGCAGGGTCCACAGGCCAGTGGAGGGGCCTGGCCAGCTCAGGGCCGTGGGCGGGCAGGGAGGAGGAGGTCATAGCACCCGCCTGGGTAAGTTACCGGGGCTGTCCCGTCCCTGCCTGGGGTGTCACACAAGGGTGTGCAGCCGCTGGGCAGGGTGTCCACCATGCAGCTGGTGTAGGGATGGATTTCTAGGTGGGTGCTTAGGTCCCCGGTGCTCAGTGGGAGCTCTCTGGTGGCTGGACCCGGAGAACCACAGGAGGGAGTCTCGTTCCTGCTTTTCCAAGCGCTCCGGCCCTCTCTGCCGCACACGCCTGTGGGGCCTGTGCTGGGGACCTCGCGTGGAGCCTGCTCAGTGACTTCCCAAAGCAGCCTCTGTGCACACTGCCCTGTCGTCCCCCCCAGCCAGGGGGAGGGTGTCCAGGGTGGCTTCCCTGCGTCCCCACCTCACTGCGTATCCCGCCCCAGGTCCTCACCTCTCGGTCCAGGCCGGCTGCCACCGTCACGAGGTCTCCGGTCTCGCTGTTAATGGTAAACATGTTCTGGGACGGACTCTGTGGGGTCTGGGTCACGATCCGGTACCGCACCATCCCGTTGGCCGTGGTGCTGTCGTCGGCGTCATTGGCCGTGACTGTCATCACGTAGGTTCCTGGAGTGGAGAGGGCATCAGGTGAAGCCACCTGACACAAGGGCTCTGTCCCCGCTACATGGCCGGGGGTCACCGCACGCCTGGGGCGGCAGCAGCCCCCTCTCTGTGGCGTTGCTCGAAGCCCGCCCGTCCTTTATGGGGGCCAGAGCAAACCTGCTGACATCTCGGCTCCATGGAATCATTCCCTAAGCGCGGGGTTCCCTGGCAGTCATTGCTCTGAGCTTTTCCTGTCCAGCTGGAGGAGGGGTGGGGGCAGCAGGGGCTGTGCTTTTCCACGGCTCCAGGGCACCGGGACAACAGGTGAGGCCTGGCGCTCCCACAGCCAACCCTCTCCCTAGCCACGGGGCCCAGGCACTGGCGGGCAGGTGCTGCCAAGGCAAAAATGGCTCCTGTGGCCTGAGGCTCATTCGCCAAATGCTCATGGAGCCCCTCCCATGTCCAGTGCTGGACCTGGCCGGAGGCCCCCCGCTGTGGGGCTACTAACTGCCCCGTCCCCTGGTGCCACTCACCCGCCTCTCCCACCCGGGTGCCGGGCCAGGCTCTCACTCCTCCAGGAGTCCTGCCTGGGCGTGGCACATGCCCTATGGCTCATGCTAATGGCCTCAAGGCCTCCTGAAACCCAGAGCCTTGAACGGGCCAAGGCCACAGCTTTTATTCACTGCGGATATGTCGCTCTGCTGAGCCGAGCCCCAGCCTGAGGCTGGGACAGGAACGGGACAGGCAGCCCTCTCGCGTGCAGAGCTCCTGCCTGCCCGATGGGCTTTCTGTTCACATGAGGCCCGGATGGCCCCGAAGGGCACCCGCTCCCCTTTGCACCAGCCCAGGATCCTGCACAAACTGCTCCACGCCTGGAATGTTCTGTCTTCTTCACCTGGCTGACTCCAGTCGTCGTCAGGGCTCAGCCACTTTCTGGGCCCCTGGACTGAGGTGTCCACTTACCTTTCTACAGCGGGTGCTCACTGGTGCCTGTCCTGCTGGGATTACCAGCCGCACTGCCCTGCCTGGCCCCTCTGCAGCCCTGTGGCAGGACCGTCGCCTTGACAGCCTCTGGGCAGGACGTGCTCAGGTGTGAGCCCGTGGCCCTCACAGTGCATGAGTGGGAGCCTGCGTAACTTCAGCTTCCAGTGAGCAGAAATCTTCCCGAGAGCTCTGTCTTGGGGAAGCAGAAGGGAAAGCGAACCCGGAGAGGTGGAAGTCTATTTCCGGGGCACAGGGTCTACGTTCCCGTCTACTGGCAGGGTCACGGCGGTGCTCAGAGCTTCCGTGCCTCAGGAGGGGAAGGAAAGCCACAGCTGGCGGGAGGGTGGGGTGGAGGAGGCAGACCGGTGCGGGGAGGTGTCTGGCCCCAGGCGCTCACTGTCATCAGGACGTAGTCCTTCCCATTCATTGGTTTACTCCACAGATATTTATATCTGTAGCTATATCATCTATATCCATGTGTGTATACACGAGTGTATTTATTGAGATATAATTCACATACCCTAAAGTTTGTCCTTTAAAAGCACAATTCGACAGTTTTTAGGATTCCACAGTGTTGTGCAACTATCACTGCTATCTAATTCCAGAACATTTTCCTCATCCAAAAAGAACTCTGTACCCACGTGCAGTGGTGCCCCGTTCCTCTCTCCCCGAGTCCTTGGTGACCACTCATCTACTTCCTGTCTCTACAGACACTCAAGTGTTCATAAAATTACATAATATGGAAATTTTGGGTCTGATTTCTTTTTTTTGGTACCGGGAATTGAACTCAGGACCTCACGCTTGCCAAGCAGGTGCTGTGCCACTGCGCTAAATCCCCTGGCCTGTATCTGGTTTCTATGAGGCCAATGTTTTCAAGGTTCATTCTTCTTTATGCCTGAATACTACTCTGTTGTATGGGGATATTCACCCCACACTTATAAACGTGAGCATTTGCTACATATCCAGCACCATGCTCTGCGCTTAGACACAGCAATAAGTACAGCCAGAAAGCATTGTCCTTGTCCCCTTCCTGCTAGGGAGAGGGAGAGAGAAGAGCTAAAGAAATACACACTTGCAAACTATGACACGTGCTTTGCAGAGAACGAAAAGCACAGGCACAGGTACATGTCTATGCAGAAAGTCTGGGAGAGAAGGGAGGCTGCAGAGAAGGCAGAAAATGTTTCCTGAGAGACAGAGGGAGCAGGGTGGGGAGGAGTGAGAACAACCCTGAACACAGGGACAAAGGCCCTGGGGCAGCGAAGAGTTTGGCATGAGGAACAAAGAAGGGGCAGGGGCATGGGGCGGGGTTGCGGATGAGCTGGACACTCATGGGGGGTGATGAGATCAAGTTGATAGTTTTAAGACATGCACAGAAGATAGACTGTAGGTAGTCAGGGGAATCGGATGGGGTGGGTAGAAAAAGACTCATCTATTCAGTGGGTTTCATAGAAAATTGGCTGTAACTAGACCAAGATATTGCAGCCAGGGATCATTATCCACTAGCATGTCTATTTGTTCACCCAACTCCTCCCTGTTAAGTATCTTCTAGGGAAGACAGTAGAGAACTTGTGTGGTTTGAAACCCCAGGGAAAAAAGTTTTCTGTATAGATCTACCCTAATTCATGCAAAGAGTTGTTTGTAAATAAAAGTTTTATGAATTTAATTATTAATAGCCTTTCTCCAGAGGCAGTGGGGACTTAAAATAAATCCAGAAAGTTCTATTTTTAGCAAAGGAGGACTGTGTTGCTCTAAATCAATCTTTCTCTGGAGGAAAACTAGAAAACCCGGACCCCAACGAAGCAAGAACAATAGAAGTAAAGCTCCTGTTTAAGGCTCTAGAGAACTACCATGTGCAGATATTTGCGGGACCAGTAGGAAAGGGGCGTCTAACACCTGAGCCCTCTCTTCTCTCAAGGCACTTGTTGATTCCAAAGTGGGCTTAGGCTAGGCTGGAAAGCTGCCCAGGTCTTTCGGCAGTCTCCTGGGTACGAGAGTTAAGCCCTGAACTTCAGCCTTGCTGAACAGGAGAGGCCCCAGCAAACCCTCTAGTCTCTGGGTTGAACTTTGAAGTGTCGCACTCCAGGAGAGAAAGTGATCTGGAAATAAATAGAATGCTGAAAAGGAATGTGGACAGTAAAGTCCAGGCTCAGAAGTACAGCTCTGGTTAAAGGAGTGTAGGCTAAGGTGATCAAGATTATTAGCATCTGTTGTGTTTTGGATCGATAGTCTTACTCAAAAGTCTCATGTTTGGAGGTGGAGTCTGGTTAGAGGGGGCAGTTCCCTGGGGGAGTGACTGGAAGGGTGTATTCCTGCCCCTGGCTCCTCGTTCTTCTCTCTGCATGCTGGCTGCTGTGAGGTGAGCAGATTTTTCTTTAATGCTTTCTCCCACAGCATTTGTACACAGAAGCCAGCCTACCATGGATTGACTTCCCCAAAAACTATGAACCAAATTAAACCTCTCTTCCTTTAAGTTGTGGGTGTCAGGTACTTTGTCCCAGAAATGAGGAAGCTGAGTAATATACAAAATTTGTACTAGAGAAGTGGTGTTGTGGCTGTGACTGTACTTGACTATGTGGTTTAGAAGCCTTTGGAACTAGTGTGCAGGTGGAGTTTGGAAAGGTTTGGAGATGTGAGATAGAGAAGCCTTATGATGCTGTAAGCAGAACCTCCTGGGTGATTCTGATTAGAGCTCAGAAGACAGGAATGCAGAAAGGAATGTGGAGAGACAGTAAAGGCCAGGCTCAGAAGGTTTTAGTTGGGAACAAGGACTCCATTGGCAGTTGAACAAGAAGCCATGTGTGTTATGCTCTGGAAAATATTTGTCTACTTTTTGCCCATGTTCTGAGACTTCAGGAGATTGAGAATAAGGGCACTGTACTAATTAACCTAGTGGAAGAAATTTCAAGACAGCCCAACATTCAGGGTGTGGTATGGGTACTGCTAGCTGATTTTAGCCAGGTTTATGGTGATGATTGGGGATAAAGCAGAGTAGAAAATTTTAAATTGAATTTTGGCCTAGAATGAACCATGTATAAAATTGGGGCCAGAAGAAGTGTGGCTGCTGAAGAGCTTAGTACTATTAAAAAGGAACCATCCACTTTGTACAGAGCCACAAAGAAAAATGCCTTGGGGGAAGGCTTCAGGAATTTCAGCAAGGCTTCACCAATCCCAGCCTCAATGGTGCAAAAGTATAAGCCTTTCATTTGAGAAGAGAGCCCCTAGGCCCCTTGCTTGAAGAGGTTGGCTCTCCAGATTCATTTTATCATGCTCAACTATCCAGGCACTTAGATACCTCTGCAGTCATGGTCCAACTATGTCTGGCTACTGCCCACACTTGTGGTGGACTTAGGAATCTTCCATGTGATACTGTTTTTTTTTCCAGGAAGAATGCAAGGGTTGTGGGTCATGGAGGCTTCCATCCAGATTTCAAAGGACGATCTGGGACACCAGACAGTGTGCCCCCGAGAGAGCAATGTATGAAGCTGTGAGAATGAAACAGAAGGCACAGTGGAGACCCCAGGAAGTTAGCGATGGCAAGGACGTGGGTTGTCTGCTGAGGAAAGCTGCAGACGGTGTATACGGTGAGCCCAAGAGAGAGGCTGTGAGGGCTACAACCAGCAGTGACATAGGGGTGGGACTGCCCAACTCCCTTGGAGTTCACATCTCACAACAACTTGCCCTGGGCACTGGACAAGGAAATACAAGATTTAATGTACACCCTGCAGGATTCTGGTCTTTCTTTAGCCTGATTCCTTTTTATTCCTCTATTTCTCCCTTCAGGAATGGGAATATTGAGCCTGTGCCACTGTATGTTGAAAGTATTTAACTTTGTTTTTGATTTTTACAGAGCTCAGAGCTAAGAGTTTGCCTTGGGTCTTAGAGGACACTTTGGACTTAAACTTTTCAGCAAAGCTGGAACTGTTAAGTTTTTGGTTACTCTTAGAGGTGGACTAAATGCATTTTGCATAATGAGATGGACATGAGTCTTTGGGGGCCAGGGGAAGAATGTTGTGGTTTGGATCTTTTAAAAGTTCCCCCGA